ATGGGTTAGTAGTTGAATTGAGTTGCGATATTTTGACCATAGACCACTTATATTATGAGGATGTGATGTTTTAAATTTCATGAATTTTGGATGCCGTGTGACTTAGATTAAGAATCGAGACTTTGGCCGAGAAATTCGATATTTTAGTCGGATATGATCTTAGCTGCAGTTATTGATTATAAAATCCACATAAATCACATATAAATTAGTGAATTGAATATCGGCTTTAAATGAGTTAGACTTTCAAGAATCAAGAATGCTAGATTTATCTGGTTTCGATGATTGGGTAATTTTTAGATCCGAGATTAATCGACCGAACCCTAACACCGTTTAAGTAATTTAGACGACATAGAATTAATTCTTAACGTGTATCGTCGTCCCGCACACGTGATCGACTCTCGTCTACGTGTACGTGCCCGTGCACCAAGTTTGAGTCAAATACCGAGTGCGTGCACGTGCACCGAGTCCATCCTATCTACCGTCAACGCGTCGTTTCCATTAGCCGTGGTCGAAGCACGCCCCTGTGTCAGTGACCGTAGCACCGTTTCAACCCGTGCATCGGCTAAGCCGTGTCAGTCGAGTTCGTGTCGACGCTTAGTTGCCACGCCGAACCCAGACCACTGTTAAACCGAGCTGCACATAGTCAAGTGAATGATCGACCGACTCCGGTTAGCCGTCGGTCCAGTTCAGTCGAACCAGTCCGGACAATCCGAACGGTTCGAAGAAAATTCCACTTCAGTCCAGGCAGTCCGAACAGTTCGAGAAATTTCAGATAAATATAAAATCCAGATATATTTCAGATGAATTTCAGTCAGTTAAATTTCAGTCAGATTAAATTTCAGTCAGATTTAATTATAGATAGATTTAAGTCTAGTTAGATTATAGCCCAGCTAGAATATTGTTCAGACATAGAAATATTTCAGAGAACTTTAGTATACCTCAAATACAATAATATTTTCATAATCAGCTCGTAAATACCTAAAATGATTATTAAAACTGAGTGAGCGAACCTAGTCATATGAGATAATAAAATTTAAGTTTTATTTTGAGCCCAATACGTAGAATATTTCGCTCCTAGTTTTGTAGCTTGAACAGAGTCGAGCATCCGCCTGCTACATAGTATATTTCAGATATTTCAGCATTTGCATTCGCCAGCTTCCAAGTGGGGACCAATGTACTGTGTATCTCATCACTTTTAATAATTTACCATGTCTGAGGTCTCTATGTGATTAAATTGAAAGATCGAGACAGATGAGTGATCCCGTCTTGGTCAATATTTTAGTATTTTAGTTATGACTTGGATGTGAGTGATTAGGGCCCGTCCTAAGTCTAGCGTCCAGATGGGGTGATTAGTGTCTTTCCTGGATTTTTGTGAAGGGGGACCCCTAGAGTGTGCACATGAGTACCGATTTACCGTTCGTCCCATAGTTAGACCAGTTTTTATTTATATATATGCTAATTTCATGATTTGTTATTAAATGTGTTGAATATTCACTGTCGGTCCCAGCGAAACGTTGATTCTTTTATACTCACGCCTCCCCACTAAACATTTTACAGGTGATGGAGTTCAGCGTGGAGCGTGAGCCGAATGTGGTGGTGGTGGTCACCAGTCACGATATTTTTGATATGACAGGTCATCTAGACACTGGAGAATGCTCTCTATTCCTCAGTCGATCCCTTCAAATCCCCATAAAATTTCATGCGATTTTACAGCCTCTCACGCTTCTCTTTACCTGCGTTTCGATTTCTCAGACCTTATCGTCACC